CCCTTACTCTCCCTTCCTCCTCTGACAATACCACCACCTTGGTATAGGCCCTCATCAAACTCATATCTGGATTAGTGAAATAGATTGCTGGTTGGTTTCCTTGTGTTTAAATCTCTCCTCACTCTAATCCAATGTTCACAGCTGCCAAAGTGATGCTTAAAGCATAGGTCTATAAACTGCAGTGGCTCCCTCTTACCTCTGGGATCAAATATAATCTCTGGCATTCAAAGCCTTTTATAACTTGCTGCCTGCCACTTTTCCAATATTTCTTATGCCTTGTATCCTTCCGTGTGCTCTGTGATCCAGTGACGCTGGCCGCCTTGCTATTCCTCATACAAGAGACTCTATCTCCCAACTCTAGGCATTTTTACTGGCTGTTACCCCTGCCTGGAATGTTTTTCCTCATCTACAGCTCCTGGCTTCCATGGCTTCCTTCAAGTTCCAGGTAAAATCCCACTTTCTACGGGAAGCCTTTCCCAAATCCTCTTAATTCTAGTACCTTTCCTGTGTTAATTATCCCTAAACTATACTCTATATAGCATGATTGTACACATATTTGTTTGTATACTTATACAACATGCTTGTTTGCATGCTTTCTCCCCATTAGGCAGTCAGCTCTTTGGCAGCTGAGACTGTCTTTCACCTTTTTATTTCCAGCATTTAGCATAGGGGCTGGCACATAGGAGATGCTTAATAATGTTTATTGATTGATTCCGAGATCTGACCTCTGGCCCCACTACTCTACTGAAACATTTCTCTCAAAAGTTTCCAATACTCTTTTTTTTTTGGGGGGGGTGAGGCAATTGGGGTTAAGTGACTTGCCCAGAGTCACACAGCTAGTGAGTGGTATGTGTCTGAGGCCAGATTTGAACTCAGGTCCACCTGACTGCAGGGCCCATGCTCTCTATACACTGTGACACCTAGCTGCCTCCTTCCAATCCTCTTGACTGCTAAACCAAACGACCTTTTCTCAGTCCTCCTCTTTCTTGACCTTTCTGTAGTATTTAGCCCTATCAACCACCTTGGTTTTCTAGATACTCTCCTGAGGCTTCAGTGATACTGCTTTATCGTCTACCCTTTCTCTTCTCTATCCAAATGTTCCTTGTGGGTTTCTTTCATTAGTTCACTGTCCTCTTTCTGCCTCCCAAGTGCCTCCCAAGTCTCCAAAAGCTCTGTCCAAGGCTCTCTTTTTTTTCGTTTCTACCTACACGTTCTCTCTTTCCAATAGCATCTGCTCCATTTCTTCAGCTACTACCTTCATGAAGATGACTTGTAAATGTATCTGTTCCATCTTAATCTCCCCAATGAGCTCTAGTCCATTATGCCCAAAGGACTACCACACATCTCTTCCTGACTCTCTCCCTGGCACCTTGAACCCAATATGTCCAAAATTTAACTCTTCCTCTCCTCAGTCTGTCCCTCTTCTCACCTTCCCTGTTTAAAAAAATGGCACAGTTAACATCTTCCCAGTCCCCCAGGCTTGAGGACTTGGATTCATCTTTCTTCTTGTCGCACTCCACATCCAATTAATCACCTCATCTTGTCAGTTATAACTCCACAATCTTTCCCTGATCTGATTTCATCTTTTCACCCTCACTGCTATCATCCTTGTCTAGGCCTTCATCCCTTCTTAATTATTATAATAGTCTAGCTGGTCTCCCTCCTCCAGGGTCTCCCCTCTCAATTCATATTTATATAGTGAACAAAATAAAGTTACCTGGGTTAGCTAGTTTGTTAAAAAAAAAACAAAAACAAAACCTTCCATGGCTTTCTATTTCCCATAGAATCAAATAAAATTCTTTAATCCCACGTGGTAGAGGTTGAATTGGACCATAGGGGCCATCTTGAGAACGTGTGTGTACATAGCTCCCCTGGAATGGCCTCTATAGAACAATTAACCTCCATTACACTGGCCTTTCAAGACTTTACAAACTGGATCCAACCTATCTTTCCAGTGTCTTTGTACTTCACATCCCTTCATATGTTCTTTGTTTCTGCCAAATTGACATACTGGCCTTGACATACCAGTTCTAGCTTCCATTCCCAGGCTTTCCCTCTTGTCTGGAATGTATGCCCTCATTACCTCTGCGAGTTAAATGCTCCTCTTCCTTCCAGGCGCAGTTCATCCTACTCAACCAGCCTTACCTGATCCCAGCTGAAAGTGATCTCTCCTTCCTCAACTTTTCCTACATCCTGTTGTATGGCTCTCTCCCTGTCCCCTATCATATTTGATGTTCTCTAATAGGTATTACTGTACATGTTTTACCTCCCCTAGTAGATGGTAAGTTTCTTGAGGGCAAGGGCTGTGTGTTCTTTTGCAATTTTGTATCCTAAGTGTTTTGCACCCACTCCAAAATCATTGCTCTCCTTTAATGCTAGTTTCTTCCCTCTGTTGATTATCTCTAATTTGTCCTGTCCTTGTTTTGTTTGTACATAGTTGTTTGCATGTTGTCTCTACCATTAAAATGTGAGTACCTTGAGAGCAAGGACTCCCTGCTCCACCTTATCTTTATATTCCTAGCACTTAGTGGATAAATACTTGCTGACTGACAGTAATCCAAAGTACCTAGGATCTTAATGAAGTGGGTATTTTCTCCAGTGATCGCTATCACAACTCATCCATGCCTGCCCATCCTGTGTGACTCTTGTCCATATCCTTTCATACATTTTCCACTGGAGGTCCATGAGACACGCTGGGGGCTTTCCCAAAATAATTCTGGCCTTGTTAGTTTACCAATGGGGCATGCAGGCTCTCCATTGGCTGCCCCTCATGTTTTTGCAACTCATGTCTTTGCTATCATCTTTTATACAGCCTCTCTTGTAATTCCTTGTTCATAATGTGGTAGAGCATATTCACACCTGCCTGATGGATGCCTTGGCCTTTGCTTTTTGGTGATTCTCAATTTTTGCCTCAACGGAGTCTGTGGTTGGTGGCCATACAATGTGTCTAAAGAATCACAGTGTTTAAAAAAAAAGTTGGATCTCCAAAGGCCTCATGATGGAACATGCTATGTACATCCAAAGAAAGAACTATGGAGTTTGAATGCAGATCGAAGCATACTATTTGCTATTTTTTTTTTTTGCTTCTGTTGTGTTTTGTTTCTTTTAGTGGTTCTTCCTATTGGTTCTAATTCTTATTTACAACATCACTAATGTGAAAATATGTTTAATAGGAGTGTATATGTATAGCCTATATCAGATTGTGCGCCATCTTGGGGAGGGAGGTGGGGAGAGAGGGAGAGAAAAATTGAAAACTCAAAAGCTTATGGAAGTGATTGTTGATAAATCAAAATAAATGAATAAAAAAGTTGGATTTTTGTTTCAGAGAGAAGCTTGAAACCATTAAAAGCATGGCACAGTTTCTCAATGGAAATCCAGCTCATTTTCCTTTTCCTGATCATTTCTGGACTCAGCTCATTGTCTGTTTGCAGGGTGCTGATGGACAAGCTCCGTGATGTATCTGTCCAATTGGAACAATGTGGTACACTGGAAAGAACGCTGGCTCCAGACTCAGAGGCCAGGCTTCAAATCTCACTTCCGGTTTGAACAAGTCTCTTAACCCCCATAGGCCTCAGTTTCCTCATTGGTAAACTGAGGAGTTTGGACCATGACCTCTAGCTGTAAATCTACAACCCTAAAACCTCCATGTTATGGTCTGGCCAATACGCATCCTTCATGGACTTATTACCGTTTTTTTCTGTATATATTATTAGGCCAAACTATTGAGAGATAGCAGCACTTAATGTTGCACATTTGTCGTTGTTGTTTGGTTGTTTCTGTTATGTCAGACTTTTCATGACCCCAGTTTTGGGGTTTTCTTGGCAAAGATACTGGAATGGTTTGTCATTTCCTTCAGCTCATTTTACAGATGAGGAAACTGAGGCAAATGAGGTTAAGTGACTTGCCCAGGGTCACATAGCTAATAAGTATCTGAGGCCAGATTTGAATTCAAGAAGACATCCTGACTTTAGGCCCCTTGGAGCTTTCTCCACTGCACCATCCAGCTGCTCAATTTTGCATAGTAACTGCTTAATAAATACTTATTTGAGCTCAATATGCTAATAAGATAATGGGTGGTAGCAGTTTAAATGCTTCATCTTTCCCAGGTTACACATCTGTATTGTCAAGGAGACGTTCTGGTGACAATGACTCAGCCTGTGCCAATTGTACAGCAGTGGAAAGAGGCCCAAACCAGCAACAAAAAATATTCTGGGTTCTAGTTTTGGCTCTGCCACTAACTAGATGACTAACCTGGGTCAATTCTTCACTTGGCAGATGAGAACTTGGAGTGGCTACCTCTTGTTGGAGTCACCAGGATTTGGGGCCCTCCGCTGTTTAAGGAATTTCATTTTATCTGTTTACCTCGGGTTCACCACATTGGGGATGCTGTGGTTCCCTCTGGACTGACTACATCTCCTTCATCCAGGTGGTCACATTGTCTGCTTTCAACCCCACCCTACCCACTCTTGTTAGCAGTTCACTAAGGCTATGAATGAGTGAGTCATTTGTTTTTCTTACAGTTGGTTGCTTGGAATCCATCCACATGACGGTAAGTGACCTGATTCTCCCTGCCCCCCCACCCAAAACAAATCACCAGTTGTGTGGGTGGCTCTATCCACACAGTCACTTAGGAATGAAGAGTGCTGCCCATGGGTAATAAGGTTTTGGAAAATCGATTCATGCTGACCAAACTCATGAGAGACTCACTAATAAATCACGATGACAGCTTACTCATTCATCGTGGGGGATAGACTAATAAATAGCCTATATTTGTAAAATCTTTTAAGGTTTACAGAGCATTTTCCTCACAACAACCCTCTGAAGTTGGAAGTGCAAATATCCTTGCTCCTAATTAATAGATGAGGAAACTGAGGCCTGAGATGCTAAGTGGCTTGCACAGCATCATCTAGCTGGTGAGGGTTGGAGGCAGGACTCCGGGACTTCTGCTGCTGACCAGTGTGTTTATCTGTATGCCATACTATCTCTCTGTCTTTTTCTAGTGGATGTGATTCTCACATGAACCATCTGAGCCATCACTTTCTGATTGTCAAGGTACCAGGAAAAGCAAATTAAAAATGAGAAAGTTTTGAGGTGAGTATGAAATCTGAGCAATGGTAATAGAACAGCTTTGTGGGATATTTTTCCACGAGAGAGAGCTCTCTGCTAAAGAGTGACACCAACAACCAGAATACTGGTCAATCAATTGAATTCAATTGAATTCAGTTCAACTCATTTCCATTCAGTTCCATTCAGTTCAATTCAATTAATCAAACATTTATCCAATGCCTTTATGCAAGGACATTGTACTAGGTAGGCGGTGGGATCTGAAAAAGAAACAGTATCGTCCTTGCTCTGAAGAAGATTTAAGTCTATGGTTCAAGACATGCAGAGAAATGTGTAGTAGAAGGTGTATGTGATGAAGCCTGGGAAGAGATTCAAACAAAGAGGTCTAAGCAAATTTTAGAAGGGAAAGATTACATTCAACTGAGGGGATCAAGGAAGGCTTCATGGAGGAGGAGGCCCTGAACTGGACCTTAAAGGAAAAGGATTTCAACAGGCAGAAATATGGAGGGATAGTGTTCCAGCCCTAAGGAACAGCTTTCACACATGCAAGTATTACAGTTGAGGAAACTGAGGCTCAGAGGAAATTGAGGCAAATAGGAGGTTTGCCTAATGTCACAAAGCTAATGAATAGAGGAATATGAACTCAAGCCCATGTCTTTTGTAAAGCTAAAAGTGTTATACAAGTATAACACATTTTAACAATAAAGAATTGCTGTTGGGCCGGGGGGGGGTGGGGAGCCAAGGAGCAATCCTATCCATTCCCTTCTCCATAAGGGGCTCATCTGCTTTAGATTCATTAATTCAGTCTGGGCAGGGTCAATCCTGGGGGGAGCCTGGCCTCTAAAGAGAAGGAGGAGGCTCCCTTTTCTCACACTCTTTGGCTTGTCTAATCCCCAACCCTGCAGTCCTGGGAAAAATTGCTTAATACTTAGCTTTTGGCTCATGTCTGAGGGTTTCTCCAAAGGGGAGAGTAGAAAAGTATTCAATGTTAAGTCAGGTATGGGACAGGTATTTATTGCCTGCCCGCAAAACAAATTCTAAAATACACAAAAGACTTAGTGAGCACTGACAAGATTTAATCAATCGATAACTTTTAACTTAATAACTACTGTTTTGAGGTGCAGGGAGATTCAGACTTAAACCTTATCAGAACAATAAAGCAGTTTTCAGGATGGCTATATAGGAATTTGACATTTTACCTCAGTTCCACACTGTTTCTCTCATGGTATGTATGTTCTGGTAAGGCAGGCCAGAATGTGAGTTCCTCCTCTTCTGGGTGGGGGTCTGTTCCAAGACTGCTAGAGTAGTTACCAGGGATTTCTCCCCCTCCTTCTAGTCAGCTTTGACCAAAGAACCCAGGGCCATTGAACTTTTTAAACTTACAAGGTAGCCTCTAAGCCTGGATGTGGTCATCTTGGGATAGATAATCTTTACCAAGGATCAGGAAAGAATAACACAGTCTGAGACCTAGGATCAGGATACACCTAGTCAGGATGTAGGTAGGCTTTAGCTGCTATATCCTTACGGTTGTATGGTAGTCTGAGATAAGGTGAGTGGGTCCTTCCTCTCCCTCTCATAGGAAGTGACTAGGAAAAAATCCTGATACAACCTGCTGCTAGAAACAGAAGAAATTCTTAAGAGTGGGGTCACTACCTTTTAAAGATGGGATATCTAGGTGGCATAGTAAATAGAGTACTAGGCCTTGGGGCAGCTAGGTGGCAGCAGTAGATAGAGCTCCAGCCTCAGAGTCAGGAGGACCTGAGTTCAAATCCAGCCTCAAGACACTTGACAGTTATGAACTATGTGACCCTGGACAAGTCACTTAACCCCGATTGCCTCACCAAAAAGCAAAAATCCAACCCCCTCCCCACAAAAAAATAGAGTACTAGGCCTAGAGTCAGAGTTAATATTCAGCCTCAAATACTTACTGGCTATGTGACCCTGGGTGCGAGTCACTTAACCTCTGTTTACCTCAGTTTCCTCATCTGTGAAATGGGGATAATAATAGCATTTAACTCTCAGAGTTCGTGTGAGGATCAAATAAGATATTAATTGTAAAGCATTTAACACAGTGCCCAGCATGTAGTAAGTGCTATATAAATGTTAGCTATTTATTATTTAAAGATCTGCTGGGACATCAGTTATTTCTGTTCAGCGGCCAATAAGGAGGTTACCCTGTGATTGCTTGCTTGATTTTTAGCTTTTACAATGAGATGGATATCACAAGAACAGATGTACCAGCAGCCTGCCCCCAAACTGCATAGCTCATTCTCACGATAGCACCTTGTGCCCTGAGGAGAATGGGCTCAACCTTGAAGCAGTTGCTAAAAAGCATTTGTTTCACCGAGTTCACTTCTGAATTCAGCATGGCCCATGGATGAGGGGGTGTTTTTGCCTGTGAGCCACTTCTGTGCTGTGTCAAACAGATTTCTCTGGGTTCTGCTCCTTGCTGGGCTCATCTGTTGGAAAAATCGGTCATGACTTCAGCTTCCAGACCCTTTGCAGCCCACTTTTCCAATCTTTCAAAGCTGACGAGGTCACAGCCCAGTTCAATATTTCTTCACCTTCACTAAGAGCGGAAAACCTCTGGTTTCCTTATTTGCAAAATGGAGATAACAGGCCTTGCACCACCCCAAAATGTTGTTTAAATGGTAAATGCTTTATATGCCTCAAAGCACCATATCAGTATAATTTGTTATTCTTACTTTTCTGACTCCCAGTACAGCATTTTTTTCTACAACAGTGAGCTGGAGGCACCTGAATATCATCAACAAGATGCTTAGGGCTGGAAACTCCTGCAGATTGCGAATGGTTTCTGTTACCTGTTCATTTTTGTTAGTGTCAATTTCAGAGGGTGGCATTTTGTGACAGAACCACAGAATGTCAGAGCTAGAAGGGACCTGAAATAAGCTGGTCTGAATTCTACAGATGAAGAAAATGAGGTACACAGAGGTGAGTGACTTGCTTAAGGTCATACATCAAGTTAGTGACAGAATTGGGTGGGCAGTTCCCTGTGCACTGATTTTACCTCCTTTGTCCAGTGGTCATAATCATCTGCTTTTATCCCCAGCCCACCTCCAGCAGCAGCTCAGGAAGGCATGTGGAAGTGAGTCATCTGTTTTCATCACAGTTAGTTAGCTTGCATCTGTCGGCGTGATGTGTAGAAATGACCTGATCCCCCCCACCAAACAAACCACCAGTCATGTGGGTGGCTATATTCACACAGTCAATTCAGTTTCATCGGGGAACAAGGAAGTCCTACTCTTCGAGCCACAGAGAGGAGCTAGCCTCTGGCCTCAGTTCAGTGCACAGCTATGTTGCCCTACATGTGGTAGGATTTGAGGGGGTCTGTGGAGATCTGGGATGCAATTAACCCCACCTATGGCAAGCATGTCTGCTCAGATCATGGGGGCTATAGCATCATCACCACCATCACCATCATCAAATATTTATTGAGAACATACTGTGACAGAAGCTATGGACAAAAGGAAGTAAAAGATACACAAATAAGAGAAGACTTTTTAAAAAATATGTAAGATATGTGCTTTTATTGGACTCTGAGTCCAGTGCCCGATCCACTATATCACACTGACTCTTGCCACACTTTCTGTGTGCAGTGGTGAGCCATTGGAAGTTTTTGAGCAGGTTATTGACAAGGAAGGGGTTGTTTTAGGTAATGACTAATTGAATTTGCTAGTGGTGTCCAGAATGAAGTGGATGGAGGCAGATACCAGAGATAGGGAGGCCCGTAGGAGATAGATTCCTCCCTCCCCCCCCCCCTCCCTCCCCTCCCTCCTCCCTCCCCTCCTCCCTCCCCTCCCCTCCTCCCTCCCCCCCCTTCCCCTCCCCTCCCCTCCCCTCCCTCCTCCCTCCCTCCCTTCCCCTCCCTTCCCTTCCTTCCCTTCCCTTCCCTTCCCTTCCCTTCCCTTCCCTTCCCTTCCCTTCATTTTCTCTGCCCTCTGTCCACATAGGGAATCATACCCTTACCTGCGAATGCCCTGCCCAAAGGAATAAAAGTTTTAATCACTGAAACTTCTTAAGATATCTTAGGGTTTGCAGGCTAGATTTCTTTTCTAAGAACCATGCCTTTAAACCCAAATCACTCTGGCTCTCATTGATTGGCCAACAATAGGTCCAAGCCCAAGCCTTACTTGGGCATTGTTTGGCCTATGATGGCTCAGAGTGAGTGTAAATAGCAATTGTTTCTGCTTTAGCCAGAAATTCTGAGGGTCTTCCTCTCCTAGATTGATTTTTTTTTTGGACTAGGTAAAAGAAGTCATTCTTTACCCCATTTCTTACCTAGCCTTAATCATTGAATGAGCATCATCTCAGTCAAAGTGAGAACTCAGAAAGACCTTAGCTTAAAAAGGCCAAGGTCTCCCACTGCATCCTGGGGCCTTCTCTAGTCGTCCTGATCTGCATCTTGCCACTGAACCCAGAGGAGGAGAGAGTGAGGCTTTGAACAGCCCTCCTTCACTTAAATCCAATTCACTTTCAAGTCATGGCATCACCTTCCTGATGTCATCGTCCTCTTTGAGAACGAAGGACAAAAAAACAAGGTGCAGAAGAAGGTGGTGGCAGTGGGGATGGAGTGAAGGGCAAGATGCTAGAGAAGCTACCAAAAAAATAGGAAGCATCAGGACTGAATCAATTGACTGCATCTCAGGGCTGGGGGAGCAGGAGAACAAAGGATGCCTGAGCTTCTGTGCTGAGACGTATGGGAGGATGATGGGATCTCTCACAGACATACAGAAATCTGGAGGGTTACTAGCTTTGGGAATGATCTTGGTCTTAAACAGGTTGAATTTAAGATGACATTCAACTGGAAATGTTCAACAGGCAGCTGAAGATAAAAGACTGAAGTTCTGAGAAGAGGTGAGGGCAAGGAAATATAAATTTGAGATTTATCTACATAAATGAAATAGTGGAGACAATAAGAATGCACAAGTACTCCAAGAAAGAGAAGAGCCCTTGCTCTTCTGAGCATTTGAGAGTGGGAAGACGTGGGGTATAGGGGATGAATAAGAAAGAATGGGCAGCATGGGAGGTCAGGAAAAGAAACTAAACCCACCTTTGTTGAGTCTTGCCTTTTAAATAGTCAGCAGTCTTAAATAAGTTTGGAGAAGAAGGCTGAGCAATGGCTATTGGGCAGGAGTCCTACGTTTTTGGCCATGGCCAATGTGTGGATTGATTTTGAGTGAATATGTGTATTTGTTACAAGGGTTTTCTTTTTTTCATTTCTCTTTTAAATGAGGAGATTTGGGTAAGGGAGAGAGGGAGGGTGATGTTAAAAAAAAAAGAAGAGCGTCACCAAAACATTTCAAAGAAAATGCACATTAGAGAACAATAGAAGGTTAGTAAGGAAACATAGATAAGCTGGACAGCTTTGAAAGTATCACGATGAATTTATTATATTCCTTAAAAGAAAAAAAGCGAGCTGTGTGTCAAAGATATTTGCAGATTCATGTGTCTTTTTTTTTTTCCAGTTCTCCTCTCCTCTCCTACCCAGCCCAGCCCAGCCCACACATGCCATTTTTATTTCTGGTGATAGCAGCTTAACATGAACAGCAAGAGTAGACTTGAAGGAGAAAAGAAGTTTCCAAAGAAAGGGTTTGTACCGGGGAGCTGGATGTTTGGGGCAGGTGGGAGGGCAGTCCCACCAGTTTTGCCTTGGTGATAATGGCAGTATTTGGGATTGATTGTGTGTGTGTGTGTGTGTGTGTGTGTGTGTGTGTGTGTGTGTGTGTGTGTGTGTGTAGGGTATATAAGCCTCAGGTCTTTTTAAATGCTTCCTTTGTACAGTCAGCTCCTCCCATTGGCCACTGCCTCCCCACCAACAGCATAGAGGGAATCTCTCAATTCAATACAATGTGATTCTGTTCAGCTCAGTTCGATTTAATTCAGTTCAGTTCAGTTCAACAGGCATCCATTATTATGTCCCAGGCACTATGCTATGCTAAGTAAAAAGACAAATAAGACAGTCCCTTGTCTTCAAAGAGCTTATATTATACTCGAAGCTTAGGGCTTAGGGTGTTTGCTCTGATTCATACACCTTACAGATATGCTCGCTTCTCTCTAATCCCTTCACCCAAACTGTATGCTACGGTGCCTGAAATTTCCACCACAAAAGTTACTGCTTGAGGGCCTTCTGGAGACATGTACTTTCTAAATGGGTTGAGGTATGCCATAACCTAAGGAGGGCAACATTTTAACCAGCTAACAAGGTAGCAAAGATTAATTTGCCTGGCTATATTAGGTCATTTCTACCCCTTTTTACCTAATAGAAAATAGGATCCTAAGAAATGATATGTAAGTATAGTCAGGGTTAGCAAAGAAGAGAGGACTTTGCAATATCTTTTTAACAAAAAAAAAATTCCAGGCTCTTCATGAGAGAAAGGGTAATATTCTATGTATTGAGAAAACTATACAACAAAAACTATCCTGAATTCAGTAACACTTTTAAATGATTTTGTATATTGTTCATCATAATGGCACCAACATGCATTAGAAAAAAGTCTTACTTCTATGTGTGAGGCATACTGTTTAGTCTACAGAAGATATGTTTATTTATGGATTTGGGTACAGATCCATGAACCCCTTATGATAACTCCATGTGGTATACATGTTGGGAGCAGCTGACTAATCCAGAGGGTGAGGTACTTACCAGGGCCAGGATTTGGCAGCACTGTGGGGGTTCCTGGGCAGAAGGGGGGTGCTCTAAAGGTACCTAGGAGGAGCTCAGAGAAGGGGTGTGTGTGTGTGTGTGGGGAGTTGAATGGGAAAGGAGGACACAAAAGGAATCACAGATTTAAAGGTTTGGAAGAGGCCTTAGGAGTTATCCACTTCTGACTAAAGCCTGAGTCTCCTCTACAAGGAAGATGCAGAGACAACAAAGACAAGCCTTATCTAGTTGCTGTGGCCAGGAGTATCCACCTGTCTCTGCATTTAAGAACTGGAAAAGTCAAGGCTTCCCTCCAAGGATCTAAAATGGTGATTTTCATGTAAAATGGTGATTTTGGAGAGTTAGAAGTAGCCTAGTTAACCCAGGTCACTGTGTACATTCCAAAAAGGGCTCATGGACCATTTGGGCTCTCCTTTTCCATAAATATGTCTTAAAAATAGAATCTGAATGTTAGGACTACAAGGGACCTTCAGAGCGATCTAATCTAACTCTTTCACATTATGGGTGGGGAAGGAAGTGATGTGCCCTACTTCGCGTAGATAGTTGTGGCAGAACTGGGAACAGAAACCAGATCTTCTGAATTCTGGTCCTCCTGTGTCTCATAGAATAGTTTCAGCTAAAAAAGAAAAAAAAAGGATTGTTTCACTGAAGCTCCCACAACTTCCTATTACGTCTAGGATAAAATACAAACTTCTCTGTTTGGCATTTAAAGCCCTTTCCAATTGACTCTAGTCTATCTCTCTAGCACATTATGCTTCTTGGTGTGCTTGACGTTGTAAACAAACTGATCTACTCACTGTTACCCATATGAAGCATTCAGTCTCCCGTCTCCAGGTTTTTGCTTAGGCCATCTTCCATGCCATGGTGTACCTCCTCCTTACCTCTACCTTGTAGAACCCCTTGCTTTCTTTGAGGCTCACTTCTCCAGATACAGGAAGCCCATCCTGATGCCTATTGTTGCTAATGCCCTCCTACCCAATCAGGAATTACCTTATTTACACTTTGGATTTGCTTCTCTGGGTTCACATTGTTTCCCACCAATAGATTATAAGTTTGTTGAGGGCAGGATTGTTTCATTTTTGTCTTTATATCCCAAATGCCTAGCATAGTGCTTGGTACCTTTGTAACACTTAATAAGGATTTGCTTAAAGAAAGAAAGAAAAAGAGAGAAACAAAGGAAGGAAAGAAAAGAAAAAAAGAAAGAAGGAAGAAAGAAAGGAAGAAAGAAAAGGAAAGAAAAGAAGGAGGGAAGGAAGGAAAGAAGGAAGGAAGTAGAACTCTGTACCTTGCTAAGGATAATGGAATTCCTTAAAAGCAGTGGGTTCTGAATCTGACAGTGCCTTGGCTTGTAATTGGATTTAAACACAAACTTTTCACTGCTGAGTTTCTTCCATTTTGTTCTGAGACAGAATCAGGGCAAACATCTGCTCCCCAAAGGAGTTTCTTAGCTTTCACTGTGAAAACCTCCCATGCAACATCTCCTCTATCAACCTCTTGGACCCACCCTATAGCATGGTAGAATAGGCAACCAAGGTGTGATTAGAGGTCTGCCAAAAGGTGACCCTACCTCCCACATTGCCCCAACTGGCCTGCCATCATGTCATCATTAGTACCTCCCTTGAACAAAAGGTATTGAATGGAAAAGAAGCACTTGAATGGTGACTCTAATGTCATCATTCCAACCCGCCAACAAGTCTTTCCCATCAGGCTGTTGTGATACAGGGAAAAAAGAATTGTACCCAGACTCAGGAAACCTGAGTTCAAGACCTGCTCCTGACCCTGAAGTTACTCTGGGGCTTTGGATCAATCATTTAACCTCTCTGAGCCTCAGGTTTCTCATCTGTGAAATGGGGATGGTAACACTACTTAGTTCCTAGAGTCTTTGGGAAGAAACATACTTTGCAAACCTTCAAATATGGTAAAATAAATAATATACCTTAAAACATGATGTAAAGTCACGATTAATCTCGCCTATCTTTTAAAATTCTCTTTGGGGATCCCTATCTCCTTACACCTAACCCATTAAAACCATGCCATTTTAGAGTGGGGAAGGAGCTAACAAATCACCTAGTTTAACCTCATTTTTCAAATGAGGAAACCGAAGCCTAGAGAACTGAAGAGGTTTGACCGAAATCACACAGCACAGCTGGGTTAAGAAACCTTGTGCTCTTTTCACTAATACTGTATTGACAAATCTTCCCAATTTGTCTTTCCAGGCCCCTAACTTACTTCCTTGATTTGGAGGGAAGGGAAAAGGATGGAGGGGTGAGTATTAATATGTGTGCTTGTGAGATTGGACAAGTGACTTAACCTCTCTGGACCTCAGTTTCCTCACCTGTAAAATGAGCAGGCTGGTCCCTAAGTTCTCTTCCATTTCTAGATCCTATGGTACCTTGTCCATAAGTGTGTGAGAGGTTAGCATAGGCTTTTCATCTGAATACTTATCTGGTCATGTCAGGAAGCTCTGAGCCTTAGCTCCTCCGGGAAGGCATCCTGGACCAAAAGTGAGTGAATGAGGACGAGCTAAGACATGGCAGAGGTCTCCCCAGAAAGTAAGAGATAAGGGTGCTGCTAGAGCTCTCGCCTCCAACAATCCAAACAGGAGATAACCCGGGCTTCCAGGCTGCTCCCATCCAAGCCCAAACAAAGCTCAGAGAAACACCAAAAAGAGAGATAAGGCAGCTCCAAAAAAGATAAGCTATGACTGCCCTGGCGGCCTTGTCATTAAGCAGGGACAGGGCCCCAGAAGGCAACCAACCAGCCATTATCAAAATGAAGGGGGAAAGTTCCTATAGCTGGCACCAAGGTAACTATAATTTTGGGCCTCTTATTGCTTGGCATTCTTTGGCAGGGGCCTCCCTGTCTGGCCATTTCTGTACCTCCTCTCTTTCTCCTCTCCCAAGGAGTTTCTCAGCCTTCCCTATGAAAACCTCTCAGGCAGCATCTTCTCCGTTGACCTCTTGGACCCACCCTATAGCATGGTAAGGTAGGCAACCAAGGTGTGACTAGGGGGGTGTCACAAGGTGACCCTACCCCCCAAAACTGTCCCTACTGATCTGCCATCATGTCACCATCAGTGCTTCCTTTGAATGAAGACATTGAAAGCTCAGGTTAAAGTACAAGTGTTTCCTGGGGGAGGAAGAGACAACACATGAATCTCTTATCAGTCATTCATAGCTTGGATCAAATTAGTTTATATACCAGGTCATGTCACCTAACAGAATACTAAGGGACTGAGACATAGATTCATAGGAAAGCTAGAAAGGGACCTTAGAGGCCATCAAATTAAGTTCCCACAAGTGGAAAGAGGGATGGATGTTTGAGTCAGAATTTCTGAACTCCATTCCCTACCACCTGTAGGACCTGGCAGAAGTCTCTTTGCTGTCCAGAGCCTCAGTTTCCTCATCTATAAAATGGGGGTAGTGAGACACACTACTATAACTCACAGAGCTGTTGTGACAGAAGCACATTGTCAACTTTAAGGTAGTCTAGAAATATGGGCTATTAATTATTGCAGGTGAAGAGACTGAGATCCGCAGAAGGGAAGTGACTTGCTTCACTAAGTTCAGTTTGTGGCAGGATCAATAACTTTTGATTGTAGGCAGAGGAGGGGAGATAGGTCAGAGGGTGCTTACTGTTGGCCTTGGTCCTATTGCACTAGAACAGATTTTTCCAAAAGAGATTGCCAACCATCCCCCTCTCTTACCACCCCGCCCCCGCCCCAGCCCCCAGACAACCCTCTTCTACAATCAATAAGCATTGATTGAGCTCCTGTTATGTACTGTAAGGCAGCTAGGAGGTACAATGAATGGAGCAATGGGCCTGGAGTCAGGAAGAACTGAGTTCAAATCTAGCCACAAATACCTACTAGCTGTGTGGCCCTGGGCAAGTCACTTAACCTCTCTTTGCCTCAGTTTCTACAGATGTAAAATGGGGATAATAACAGCACTATATATACACTTATTCCCTCCCCACAGTGTACTAGTATCTGCAGGAGACAAACACTTTGAGTGTTTGCCCTTTCTCTAGCATATAGCATCAACTCCAAGGGTGTTGAGTTAATCTAATGAAATATTCTCTCTGAAGTCCTTTCAATCTAGGACCAGAAGTGACCTCAGAGGTCATCTAGTCCAACTGCCCCCTTCCCTTCCCCAGAAAGGGTGTAGCAGGGGCAGGATTTGAACCCAGGTCTTCTGACTTCAGAACCAGTATTCATCCCACTGTTCTGTGCTACCTCTCAAATGTTCCAGCCTCTTCCACCTCTAAATCCAGAGTTCTTTCTACTATACCACCAAATAGTAAACTGTATGGCAAAGGGAAGGGGGTAGGTTGGGTCCACTGCATTTATTTGCTTCTTTTTATTAAGTGCAATTTTATGTCAGAGGTCCTGAGGTGTGTGAATGGATTTCAGGGACTCCATAAAATTGGATGAGAACAATTTCTATCTTTATTTTCACTAACCTCCCTCTGAAACTGAGCATTTTTTGCAATTGTTTAAAAAATTGCATTACTCTGAGAAGCCCATAGGCATCGCTGGACTGTCAAAGAGGTCCCTCCCTCCCTCCCTCTCTCTCTCTCTCTCTCTCTCTCTCTCTCTCTCTCTCTCTCTCTCTCTCTCTCTGTCTGTCTCTCTCTCTCTCTCTCACACACACAATTAAGAATCCCTGCTTTATTTTGAATTCTATTCAATATTTTGCAGTTTTCATGTGATGCTAGTCATGTTGACCTACTGAGTAAGTGTTTTTGCATATGTGTGCATTCATGTGTATGTGCATGCATGTGTATGTGTATGTATGTGTATGTGTGTTTGAAAGCTGACAGTCCAAATCTCTTCTTTGACAGATTAGGAAACTGAGGCCCAGAAAGATGAAAGGAACACACTTGCTCAAGCTGACATAGCCAGCTAATATGAGACCCAGAACTAGACACCAGGACTCCTGACTCACAGTTCAGTGCCCTTTCTTCTACTTTATGCTACGCACCCTCCCAGCATTGCCGCTTAATTCTCTGGGTGATTTTGGGCAAGTCCCTTCCAACTATGGGCCTCTGTTTCTTGGTCTGTGTAATGAGGACGTTGGTTCTAACGTCCCTTCTGCTCCAAAGTCCATAATCCCAATGTACTGCGGATCATGCTCTTTTCGGATTGTCCTATTGTGAAATAAATATTTTGGGGCAATTTGGCGGCAAAGATGATGAAGTTGAATCTGTGCTGGCGAATGGTCTGCTCAGCTTTACTGTTTCCTGTGGGGTTGGGATTTTTAGATGCCTATGTAATTCAAACTTGCTGTTCTCCTTTCCTGGTGGGATGGTGCTCCCGGACTTTTACTGCCTGGTGGTGGTTTGGTTTGTGTGTTTGTTTGTTTATTTCACCATTCCCAAAGCCCCAGAGACACGTTTCCTGATTGTTTTGCTTTCCTGACAACCACCCTTCCTCACTATTACTCTGGCTATTAAATTTTTTTTTAAACCATCTCAGGAGTTACACTGGGTTTTCTGAATTTGGACTAACCTTCCCAGCCTGGTATCCATGTGCCACCCCCTCCCCAACTCTGAATAGGGCCAGCTGTTTGAGGATGTAGTTGGGAAGCTTGGATTTGGAGCTCCCCCCACTTAGCCTTTCAATGCCTTTTCTCTGTTCCCCAATCCCTTCCACTTATTCAGGGCTCCTCACATTGTGCTAGTCTCCCCATGTTTCATATAACAATAACTCCCATTTACAGAGTGATTTACAGTTTACAAAGCACTTCCTTAAAAACAACCCAGTGCGATAGGGCAGGAAAGAATTTCCATTTTACCAGAAACGAACAGAATCAAGATTCAAACTCATGAATTCAAACCCACCACGTTCTTGATAGAACAGCTGCATCTCTGCATCATTCCTTATCTCTATTTCCTTGTCCTGGCCATCCCTGCAAATAATTATGTTATGAAATCACAGGTGAAATCCCTGTCCTTATCCTCCTCCTCCTCCTCCTCCTCCTCATTACTCATCTGGACCTGTGGTTTCAGAGTCTGTCCTCCCAACTCAAATTGGAAAGTTGAATCCCCTGGAAAGCAACTGCCCCAGGTTCAAGGTACACCTGGACCAATACTCCTAAAACTATAGCCCAGGATAATTTCATTAGTGTAGGAAATTCCCTCTATCGATGTAGATTGACTATTGCTTGCAGCTCACGCTCTTGGAATTACCTAGTGCACCAAGAGGTTAAATGACTTGCTGAGGGTCACTCAGTGCGTGTCAGAGACTCGAACCCAGGTCATCTGGATTCCCAGTCCTGTTCTTTATCCATAATGTCATGCTATGCCTCCATCATCATCACTACCACTACCACCACCACCACCATCATTATAATGTCTATTGAATTAAATCAAATAGACTCATGGAAGTTTGAGAGCTTGACAGAGCCTTAGAGATCATCTGGTCTAAGCCCTCATTTTATAGAGGAGAAAATTGAGGCCTAATTGATCAACAAGCATTTATAAAGTTCTATTATTTTCTCACAGATACTGCTAAGGAGATAAATACAAAAGCGATCCAAATCCTATACTCAAAGAGCTTACATTCTGTTGTCTGGATGTAACATGCCCAGAGAAGGGAAGTTACTTGGCTAAGGGACCTGTATATTGCTGGATAGCAATGGGTGCTAAAGAAGGAAGTAAGCATTTATTAAGCACCTATTATGTACCAGGCATGGTGCTTAGTGCTTTACAAATATTGTCTCATTTGATCCTCACCAAAACCATGAGGGATAGGTGCTATTATTATCCCTATTTTACATTTGGGGAAACTAAGGCAGGCAGCTACTATGTCACTTTCCCAGGGTCACACAGCTAGTAAGTATCTGAATCCAGATTTGAACTTAGGTCTTCCTGGCTCCAGGACCACTTTGCCACCCAACGGCCAGTGGGTTGTTAACTGCTAATGGGTTAAGACAGGGAGATAAGCCAATTCCTATTATTGTATTAGTCAGCTGCGGGTCATAACATTCAGTTTAAAGGCAAAATTTCTCCAGAAGAATCTTTAAACTAACAGTTCAACCCACGTCCATTTGTGCCAATACATTCCCTGCTAAAACACTTATTTGCAGCCTATAAGACCCAGACAAAGGTCCAGGCTTACAGCCTGCCTTGGATTTGGGGCCAAGGTTTGACTTGAATCTGCCTGCTGCCTCTAAATCCAGACAGGGCCAATTCTAAAGTAGACCAATCAGGATGGTGCCTGTGGCCTAAGCTTTAGGGGTGTGAAGAGGATAGGCAGCTCTTCCAGAAAGACAGAGAGGGTTGGATTAGTGGATGCCAAAGCAGACCTAATGCTCCTGTACATACAATGAGTCCATCACGTGCCTGCTCTTTCATCATCCCTTTGGGTGACTCTTTTCCCTGCTTAGGACTTCATTCACCTCATCTCAACAGCATATAAATGTTGGGTATTCAGGGGAGATGATGTGATGACGGTGACACATGGTGGGTACCATTTGTCTTCAGTCCATACCCCTTAGGAAAATCTCTGGAACCAGACATAATGTGGATATTTCAGGATATTTTGTGGAAATGTAGGATTTTTCTTTGTTCTTTTGTTTTCAAAGGTTTGTCACTTCTGTTTTGCTCTTTTTTATGTTTTCTAGATTCAAGTGGCTTTAAAAAAAGGTTTCTTCTGTGGGGGTGCCTTATTTAAAGTGACAGTATTTATTTTTCCTGATCCTGTTCAATGGACACAAGGAACAGCTGTTCACCAACTGGTTCTTTAAAAGTATTCCCTCTTATTCTTCAGTCACTGGGCCCTAAATGACTGAGTCTTCCAATTTAGAACTGACGAAGTAGACAAAAGAGATGCCTAAATGCTATTAATTTGGTCCTACTCTTAGCATCAGGATGGCTTCATAAAATCCCTCACTCCACTGTGGATTCCTACTTTCTTTAGCTAGCTTTCCTCACATTTTTCTTTTTAATCTAGTAAGTAGAGGGGCTGTACTATCTCATATGAAAGAGGGGCTGTACTATCTCATATGAAAGACATACAAAATATTGGGGGGGTTGGCCTAAGTAAATTTTTCAGCAAGTCCCCCCCTAAAGTAACCCATTGTGTTTATTACTTCAAAAGTCTGTCAATTAGCATGTGCTTAGCACTGGGGATGCAAAGAAAGGCAAAAACATGGTGCCTGCCCTCCAGGAGCTTACAAAGCAGGAGAGAACAAGGAAGCATCTACATTCATGCAAGATATATTTATGGGGTAAACTGGAGGCAATATCAGAGAGAAGGCAATAGCAGTGGACAGGAGGGGAAAAAGGGAAAATTACCTTACAGAAAGTGGAATTAGCAAGCCAGGAAAGCCTGGTGGCAAACCAAGAGCATGCCAGGCATGGGGGACAGCCAGTGAAAAAGTCCAAGGTATAGAAATGGAGTGTCCTGTTTAAGTAGCAGAAAAAAAGCAGGCGTTGATGGATCATAAGGTACTTGGAAAGGAGTAAAATGCAAGAAGACTGAAAAGGTTGGAAGAGAGAAGATTGCTAAAGGACTTAAAAAGAGGATTTTATATTTGATTCTGGAGGTAATAGGGAACCAGTAGAATTTATTGAGCAAGAGGGTGATATGGTCAGACCTCCACTTTAGGAAAATCAATACGGCAGCTTAGTGGAGAATGGACTGGAGTTGGGGGAGACTTGGGCAGGGAGACAGACTGGGAGTCTATTTGATAGTCCAGGAATGAGGTAATAAGAGCCTATATCAGGGTGGTGGCTGTGTGAGTGAAGAGAAGTTATATAAATGAGATGTTGTGAAGGTAGAAATGGCAATACTTGACAACAGACTGGACACATGAAATGAGTGTGAGAGAGGAGAAGGAGGATGACATTGAAGTTGCAAGCTTGGGTGACTGGGGAGATGGTGGTACCCTTGCAGAAATAAGGAAGCTAGCAAGACTTGGGGAGAAAGATAATAAGTTTGAAATGCCTATGGATCATCCAGTTCCAATCAAATCCAATCCACATTTATTAAGTGCCTACTATGTGCTAGGCACTATGCTAAGATCAGGGGATACAATTAATAAAAAGACAGACAGTCCCTGCCCTCAAGGAGTTTATAATCTAATGAGGGTGGGGAAAGACAACACACAAAAAGAGGCAAGAAAGTGGGTGGGGACACCAGGGGGTATCTTGTTCATGGAATTGAAACCAAGGAGAGCAGCAGATGCAAAGTGGAGTGGCTGAGTCCAGTTTGTGCTCTCTATAAAGGAAGGCATTGGGAGGAGTTTGGTGCTCGGCCTCCTCCCCCTCCCTCCCACAAGCCCTCTAATCAGAGAGGAGAGGAGGCCAAGGGAGGTGATGTGAATCAAGGTTTGAGTTAGTGCCTGGTGGTGACTTAAGAAGTGATAAGGTTACCAGGGAAGGGCATCTTCTTCTGTGAAGCTGAAACCAGGCAGGGCAGCAGAGGCAAAGTAGAGTCAGCTGAGAGTCCAGTTTCTGCCCTCTATAAAGAGAGGCGATGGATCCAATTCAAGATGTCTAAGATACAGTAAGTCATGTGAAACTAGAAATTAGGAGAGAGGTCAGGACTGAGAATATCTGCATGGAGATAACTGAATCATCTGCACAGAAGTGATCATTGAAATGAAAACTGATGAGATCATCATGTGAGACGGTATAGATAGAAAAGCCCTTGGACAGATCCTTAAAGGACATCCATTGTGCATGGGCATGACCTGGATGAAGAACCAGGATAAGAGCCCGAGTATAAATGGAGGAGAACTAGAAGAGAGGAGTGTTATGAAAACCTATAGAGGATCTAAGATAAAAATGTAATGAATGGTATCAAAGGCTTCACAGAGGTCAAGAAAAATGAGGATTGAGAAGAGGCCATTAGATTTGGCAACTACAAGATCATTGATAACTTTGGAGGGAGTCGTTTCAGTCTAATGATGAGGTCAAAAGGTAGATTGTAAAGGATGCCAATGTAAATTCTGGCCTATTTATCTCAGGGACTAGCTGTTCTACTCGCCCAGATGAATGCAGGGAGATCCAAGTACACATTACTTAACATTGTTAGGGTTTCTATAATGTTAGACTATTCTAACAGTTTCTAAACTGTTGTTTATGAATAAATAGAAAATAAAAATTGAGGCTGATTTGACTGGTGAATCCACTCTGACTCCACAGCAATCATGATGCCCTAAAATTCTTCCAAAACATACTTTTCGTAACACATGATAGAATTTTGCCAAGAGTCAAAGTCAAACTCAGGGGCCTATAGTGCGAATTCAATTCAATTCAGTAAATATCTATTAAGTGCCTACTTTTGCATTGGGAATTAGGAGAGATAGGAAATTTAGCTAAGACATTTACATGACCTTATGAAACTTACAGGCAGGTAGTTGGCACAGTGGATAGAATGTCAGGTCTGGAATCAGGAAGACTCATCTTCTTGAGTTCAAATCTGACCTCAGACACTTACTAGCTGTGTGACCCTAGGCAAGT